CGCTGGAATTGTCCAGAATGTTCCTCTAACCAATCGCGAACAATTGTGGCCCGGTGACAGGGCGCATTGTCATCCATAAAAATCCTATCGTTGTTTGAGTATGTAAGTTCATGAATGGCTGTAAGTATCTCCAAGTAGCTGAAGGTATCCATTTCCAGTCAATGATCGGTTCAGTTGCACTAGAGGACCGAGTCCATGCCATGTAAAAACAGCCCAGACCATTATGGAACCACCACCAGCACGAACAGTGCCTTGTTGACAACTGAGGCCCATGGCTTCGTGGGGTCTGCGTCACACTCAAACCCTACCATCAGCTCTTACCAACTGAAATCGTGACTCATCTGACCAAGCCACGGTTTTCCATTCATTTAGGGACCAACCGATATGCTCACGAGCCCACGAGAGTCGCTGCAGGCGATGTGGTGCTGTCAGTAAAGGCACTCGAGTCTATCTTCTGCTGGAATAGCCCAAGGAAGACAAATTTCACCGCACTGTCCTATCAGACACATCCCTTGTACGTCCCACATTGATTTCTGTGGTTATTTGAAGCAGTGTTGCTTGTCTGTGAACATTGACAACTCTACGCAGACGTCGCTGGTCTCGGTCATTAAGTGCAGGCGGTTGGCCAATGTGCTGTCCATGGTGGGATGTTATGCCTGAAATTAGATACTCTCGGCACACTCTTGACACTGTGGATATCGGAATGTTGAATTCCCTAACGATATCCAAAATGGAATGACCCATGCGTTTAGCTCCAACTACCATTCCGCGTTCAAAGTCTGTTAATTCTCGTTGTGCGGCCATAATCACGTCAAAGCCTCTTCGCATGAATAACTTGAACACAAATGAAAGCCCTGCCAAAGCACTTCACATTTATACATTTTCTACGCGATACTACTGCCATCTGTATATTTGCATATTGCTATCCCATGACTTTTGTCACTTCAGTGTACATATCATAATGAACATTGTATATTATTAAAGATAATTTTCTTTGATATTTTATACCTTGTTCTATATTTTGTTCCATTTATATATATACCTATACATAGATATATATAATTTAAGGATTCTATACTAACTACTACATAGAAAACCAAAAAGTCCATCAATAATTTATTTTTCAGTATTATTAACTTCATTCTGAAGAATTTTCTGCAGTCTATAGTTTGCATTATTTTAATCATAAATCTCAAGTAGAAACAATTTAATGTTTATATGTCGTTAGAAAATTAACCAAAAAGCAGCGACCACAATGTAACTGAAAAACAGTCCTTAGGTGTGATAAAGTTGAAAGCCATTTGGGTTAAGACTATTTTCTCAGATACTCAGCTACTTCGCATACATGTAACATAGCATTCGAAATGAAAATCTCAATATTTACTACGAATTCATAGATGTAACAATATCTGTCTTTCTATTTCTATGGCTTTAGAAAAAAGGTGTTATTTGCCTTACAGTTTATCGTTCAAGAATACATTTTTATTGTACAAAATTACATTCCTTTGAAGAATTCAATTTGTATTTTCCTCTGTATAAAACTGAATGCAAAGAAGTTAGATGTTTAAACAGCCCCCACATTTTCTCACGACTTTGAGCAAGATTATCCCCTTGTTTTCAGATCTCCCGTGAAAAAAAAGGGGTTGTAAATTTACGACTCTAGACTGCATATAGGCCAATTTCTAAAGAACATCCAAATAATAGCCTTGAGCTTGCTTTGTGCTCATTGGCTAATATATACCAGATGACACGCAGTGAAGCTCGATGCCCAATGGAGAACTGGAGAACGATATTTCTGGATACGTATGCTCTCACTCACAAAGCAGAAATTCTCATCTAATTCGCAAGATTTTGTTTTAGATATAATATAGAGAAAATTCAATTGCTTTCAGACGTCCAAAATCACTTTTTTCTTTTCTTTTTTGTTCATATAATGAAGTATTAAGACAAGGTCCATAAAAATCGTGAGAAATTTTCAGAATAAGAAAACGTCGGGAGAAATATATTGTAAATCACGTTGGCGGGACAGCGGTCGAAAACTGGGAGTCTCCTGCCTGAATCGGGAGAGTTGGCAACTCTGTTTATGGATAATAATGCTTGTCCACATTGAGGAAACCTCGTGGACAAGTTCCTTGAAAGTGATGGCACTGAGTGAATATCATGGGAAGCAAACTATCCTGACCTTAACCCGACAGAAAACTTGCAAGACTATTTTGGAAAAGTAGTTGCATGGAGACACCCTCCTATTAGAGATGGAAATGCAATGAAGATCGCATTGTTAGAACTGAAGCTAAAAATGCTACTTCCAGCATAAAAATGCATTGTGATATGTGCATATAAGTCAGGAAAGATGACGTTCCATACTAAATTCATTAGCCTAAATTTTTTTAGTTATGCTTATTATTTTTCCTTAACTGCCCTTGCAACATACAACCATTTTTGCTGCTTTAAGCTACAATCTTATATCATATACAATGATCTTCTTTTTTCTCTCTCTCTCTTTTGGATTTATGAGTTATGATGTACCATTCCGCACAAATCCACAAAATTGTAGTTCATAATTTCTGCGATTTTATCCATATAATTTTGCACATGAATGCATTTTGGGAAAGCCTGTTTAATTTGTTCATTATCTTTCAAGTTTATGAGATATAGCACCCATACAAGCTTAGGGTTTACGATAAACCCTGAATATGTAATAGTAACACAGTTTTTAATGGAGATATCATTCCAATATAATCATGGTAGTCCATTTCCACATAACATCTTTAGGGAAAGTTAGAAACTAAGTGATACCAAATTTAAATTTATATAAATGACTTTGATCATAAATTTTTCTTACAGCCACCTTAACCTTGCTTTGAATTTAATTTCTACTTTTTATCAGATACATTTCAGCATAAGCTTGAAGCATCACACTTTCTTCAAATTCGATTTCTAAAGCAGAATCCACAATACTATTCCACAATGTAGGTGCAAGGTAGGATGCTTGTTTTTCATATTTTTTTTTTTTTTTTTTTTTTACAAAAAAATATTTATATGATACAGTCAAAAGTCGTATATCCGGACTCGTCGGGACTTCGGCGATTCCGGATTACAGATCATCAGTTTAAATCTGGTAAGATGGCATGCAGAAATTATAAAATTAAAAATATGGAACTGTAATTTATGAAATAAAGAACAATTATGATCTAAAGGGTATCAAAATTTACAAAAACAAAGCTTAATATTTATTTGTTTACTTTATTAAACATTTCTTTCAATGTAAGTTAAGTTGCTTCGTTTTTTATGTGATAATACTTTCTCTTTAATTCTATAAACAGACATATTTTCTTGTTCAGTTACAAAGTTCCGCTATTTAAGTCCTATAATTGCTGTGTCGAGAATACCGACAAATTTGTCAATCGAAATTTTTTCGTTTTCAATAACCTCTGTGTCACTTTCTTCGCTATCGGAAGCGAATTATAATGATGATGAATTTGATTTAAATCATATCAATGAGATGAAATACTACGTTTAGTAAGGAATTATAAGCCAAATAAAATAAAAACATCTGCTCTGAAGATAAGGATAGTGCTGACAGATCAACTTTCAGTTCATTGCGTGCCGTGACGTTCCCCCCCCCCCACACACACACACGCGGAGCAGCGTGAAATTGATAAACAGATTTCGGAATGGTTAGATACACAAAGGATATGCCTTTATCCATTTTTTGCAGCAATTCCACTTTTTGTTTAAGGGACTTCGAAACATACTTTCGCTTTGTAGATCCTTTACATATTAGTAAATATATATCGGAAATTCTATTTGACATAAACGAAAGTTCAAGCTTACTTTTATAAAATTGCTCTAACAGTCTGCAAAAAATAATAAGCCGGATCCAATTCGAAGATTAAGGAACAACGCAATCTGCAACATTAACTGAATTAGATAATTTTAGCTTAGCTTATACCGTCCCTTATACATTAAACGCGCATTCGTAAACGTATTTTGCGCTTGCGCACACGCATATTTGCAGCCGTAAAGGTCTTATGCGCATGCGTCAACGCGACGCATGCGCAGAAAGTTTGTAGCTTTGAGGTCCGGATTATAGATCATTCAGGCTTATGGGTGTCCGAATTAACGACTTTTGACTGTATAGCATAGTACGTTCAAATAACGCTTGATCAATGCAAAAAGCAATATACACAGCTAGCCTAAATAGTTGAAAGCTGACATGGCATTCAAAGAAATTATACCAATATTTAAGTCATTTTTATTTTGGTGAATAATATCCACCATATTCTACAGGAGAAACTGTAGGGTAGGATTGTTTAGTCCTTTAAACTAAGAACTGAAGGAGTTGGGTTGCTAGCAGAGGTGGCTGGAAACATCTAGTTTAGAAGGCCTACCCTGGGGCTGTCGTGCCACGGTTGATTATGCCCACATTTGATGCTTCGCACAGTTTTGACTGGTTTCCTATTAACCAAAATGTATAATATATTTATTATATATATATACATATTTCTCTATAAAATTTCAAAAAGAAATCATTTTGTGTGTGTTTTTTTTTTATTTGATTTTATTTATTCTGCCTTTTGCCAATCTATATCTAGTGGCTTTTCATTAATGAGCTCAAATTTAAAAATTCAAAAATCTAAATGAGCTCCGACATCAAGCTGTGAAGACTTTTGTTATTTATGGTTTTAATTTAATACCATTAATATATTTTTAGCTATTACCATCAATTGAAAAAACAGAATAAAGCATATAGAAAAATACTTTTTCATTACACTGTAAAAAAATATTTTTTCTAGGTTCAGAATGTTATGGAACACAATATAATTATTCGATGAGGACTAAGTATACCTAAGATAAATTTACAAATGAATTACATATTTGCAAGACTTTCAGAAATAACACATAATTAGTTTAAAATTTAAAACATTTTTGTTTTTAGATAACTTAATTCTCTAAGCTTCTAATAATATTTTTACTAGCACTAAAGCTTGATTACTCACTTGACAGACAAAGAAAAGTCACCAGGAGAACTTTCACTAACTCTAATCAAAAAAGCACCTTCATGTTTGTTCATAAGTAACTTCTCAGCATCAGCACGTGTTATTCTCCCATAATACCAACTAAATTAAAAATAAAATGCTTTAGTTAGAAATAAATGTAAAAGTATACTAAACAGAAAATTATTAAATTCTTACACAGCAGCAAAACAAACATCAAATTCAAAAAGAAACATGCCAATATCAAAAAGCATCAACAGTTTTGTTTTGCAGAGATTTTAAGGCAATTAACTACAAGTTAATATTACTTACTCATGTTTCTTCATTTCAATATAATTGCTTGGAATAAGGCCTTCTTTCGCATCCAGTTCTGCTCGATACCAATTCATATCATCTTCCATGTTTAAAACCTAAGTTAATTATAATACACACTTTTACAGGTTGCCAATTGTACATAGTCTTAAAAAATAAGCAGTATGAAAAGTGATCAATTTGCTAAAGTCCTTCAAAACAACTACCAATATAAGATTTACAATCAATCCATGTGTCTGAGAACACTAATAAATACCAATATTGACAATTATATACAACCATTGTCTAAACCAAACAAGACCATGAATGACAAATAAAATATTTAATTTTTGTATCTAACTAAAATGCATTATGTGATAACAAGGCAAAAGCCAAAAGGTTATAAGGTATTTCTCCAGCCTTCTTGGCATGTCTTCGTGATGTGGCGGTCTGCACACTCAGCGCATAATGAGAGGTCCACAGTTCAATTCTCGGCGAAGGCGTTGCTAATTTTTCATCTTTCCTGCTCCCCAAAAAATACCTAATGTCTCTACAGTGGCGTCCGTTGGATGATGATTCTCCTCACCCAGGATTTGGCGATTGGGTCCCCTAAAAACCCCAGTCACCTTTTAACAGGGGAGTATATAAGATATTTCTCCTGCCTTCTTGGTGTGGTGGTCCGCACGCTCAGCACGTAATTGAGAGGTCCATGATAAGATTCCCGGCAAAGGTGTAGCTAATTTTTCATCTTTCCTGCTCCCCAAAAAATACCCAATGTCTCTACAAGGTCTTACATTTCCAGTTTTGCTCAAAAAGCAAAATTAGTTGATCAGTAATTAATCTTCATTTCTGAGTCACTGATTTTTATTATTTTCACTTCCTTGTAGGAAGTATTGTAATAATAAAAAATTTCAGGTATCATATCAACAGAAATACCATTTTGACCATTTCCAGATCTATCTGGATGATCATTTTTCATGAAGTTTGTATGTATGCAAAGATTAAAGGACTTTTTTCCAAAATGGATTTTTTTGCGACTTCTGTACATACAGACGAACGTATCTTGAATAACTCGAACACAATTATGCGTAGAACATTGGAATTTTGTATATAGGACTGCTGTAACATATAGTTGTGCACTTTTTTTTTTTTTTTTTTTTTTTTTTTTTTAATTTCTATCAGCAGAACTAAATGGATATACACTGCTGACCATTAAAATTACAACACAAGGAAGGGATTGATTATCTGGCGAATGTCAAAATCACATGAAAGGAAGAAAAGTTTGGGATATGCAAATGATTAGTATTTCACCACATTCAAGACAATGCAAGAGGAAGAAACGGCAACTGAAGCACAGCATAAATGAAAAGTTGTGTAGCGGATTTCTCATTCCGGAAGCACTTCATAAGGTTGGAGTTTGCTCAGAATATTATGTTACACCTCGAATAAGAAATGCATGCCAGCAAGAATTGAAATTCGACAGAGGCAGGATCATTGCCTATCGAGAAAGTGGATTAAGGCTTCATGATATCGCCCATCATACTGAACGGCATGCAGGATCTCAATGCCAGGACTAACTCTTGAGAAGAAAGATATATTGTGAGGTCTGCCCTGCAAAACCGTTCAACCATATCACGGACCATTACTCAAGAAATGGGCACTCCCAGTATTCGTACAGTGCACTGACGTTTACAGCAGCATTGACTATCAGCATGGCAATCATTACTTCGGCTTCCCTTCGTAATACGGCATAGAGAAAGAGATGGCGAATCTGGTGCGCTGAGCGACAAAGCTGGATATAGGTGTCGCACAATGTCGTCTTTTCAGACAGCTCTGTATGTAGTATTCTCACAGCTGTATATGTCTCTGGAGGCTGCGAAGAGACCGCATGTCATCTGCTTGCATTCAATACCGGCATAGGGACCCTGCATCTAATGTGATGGTTTGGGCAGCCAACGGGCACACGACACGCAAATTTCTAAGTCCGACTGACGGTAATTTTAACGAAGATCAGTATATTTCTGACATCTTACATTCAATGGTTGTGCTTTATCTTAGAGGCCTACCAAACACCATCTTACAACAAGATAATGCAAGACCATATGTTGCACGTCATGTTCATTGATACACAGAGTATTCGATTGCTGCACTGGCTTACACGGTCCCTGGATCTGTCACCCACTGAAAACATCTGGTCATGGATTGCCGAGACATTGGCCCGCTGCCCCTATCCAGCTAATATGGTTTATGAAGTTTTATATAGACTTAAAGCAGCACTGAATGAGTTGCCCGTTTCTGTCATTGAATTCATTTCTGTCAGTTCGACTCCATGCCTTCACACCCCTGTAAACCTCAACACTGATTACAAATTTAATTATTTTGTCTTCATGCCATACTGTTTATGTACAATATATATCTTTTTTGTATTTGCTTGCCTGCATGGTGTTGCAATTTTAATGCCCAGTACTATATATATGTAAGAAAAATAGATATGTGAAATATTAAATTAGCATCATAAATTTTCCTTCTCAATTTTAAAAATAGTAATCTATTTGCACTATGTCATTTCAAGACTATTCTATGTCATATGATTCTTAGGCAATTCTGATGATGTACAGGGTGATTATAATTAAAGTTTAAGTTTCAAAACGCTATAAAAAAAGAACCACTAATGAAAATGACGTCAAATTTGAAAGGAATGTTATTGAAGAAGGCAGAAAGCATATGGCAGAAGAAAAAAATTAGTTTCAAAAAGTTAGCAACAGATGGTGCTGCAAGCGGAAGAAGACGTAATTAAAATGTTAGTTAAATTTCAGTGTTATAAAGCCGCCAGGTACCAGGCTGTTCCTCATTTCCGTCTCAGACGTTCGCCATGGGTGTTTCACTGCAGGACCACGCTCTGCTGGTAAAGCTGTATTACAAGAATGATGATTGTGCAAGAGCAGCTCTGCAAAAATTCAGGACACTGAAGGGTATAAAAGAAGGCGTTGGTCCAATGACTGTCGTAGGTCTAAAGAAAATGATGCAAAAATTCGAAACGACAGGTTTGTTTGATGTGCAATCTGGTAGAGGGAGAAAACGAGTGCATTCGACGGTAGTTGAAGAAGTGGCCACAGCATTACAGGAGGGGTCGGCCGGTGGTGTGCAACCGTGCAGTGCACGAGGAATTGCCCGAACATTGGACAGGCCTACGAGCACGGTGCTGAAAATTGTATGAAACATCCTGCAATGCTATTCATACAAAATTGGCCATGTGCAGGAGTTGCTTCCGTCTGACCTAACAGCTAGGGAGACGTTTGCGTTAGAATTCCTGGCTCGCATGGAAGTGGATAATGAATGGGTGTGGAAAATTTTGTGGACAGATGAAGCCCATTTCCATCTGACAGGATACGTGAATACCCAGAATTGTCGAATATAGGCAACAGAAAATCCACTGGCAACGCACCCCGTACCACTTCATCCTGAAAAGGTCACGGTATGGTGTGGCTTTACGGCATCATTCATCTTACAACCATATTTTTTCAAGCAGACGGGTACTTCCAGTCCTGTTACCACAACCGTCACTGGTCAGAGGTATTCGTCTCTTTTGCACAACCACGTGATTCCAGCTCTGCAACAGTGTGGATGAAATCATTTTTATGCAAGATGGCGCTCCTCCGCACATTGCACATCCCATGAAGCAGCTGCTGAGGCGCCATTTTGGAAATGCTCGAATTATCAGCCGTCATTTCCCTACAGTCTGGCCGTCCCGATCGCCTGATCTTAAACCGTGTGATTTCTGGCTGTGGGGATATCTGAAGGATGTTGTGTTCCATGCTCCAATTGCAAATTTAGCGGAATTGAAGGCACACATTTCACAACACATTCTGAACATCACCCCGGAGACACTGCGATCCGTTGTGGAACATGCTGTTTGTCGCTTTCAACTTGTTGCACACAACAGTGGACACCATATTGAACATGTTTTGCGCCAGTCTCGCGACAGTTCCGAACTTCTTTGATGAATGGTTCTTATGCGGTATGTCGCCGCAAAACTCTTGAAACCGATTTGTCCCTTTCGATGTGATATGTACAGTCATGCAAATAAAATTATTCAACAATTCTAATTTGTCAATGCGTTTTAATGTGTAACTTCCACCTTAGCCATTGTTTTACAAATGATTTCTCGTTTCTCATCGTGATTCTGCCGCTTACAGCGCCATCTGTTGCTAACTTTTGAAACTAATTTTTTTCTTCTGCCATATGCTTTTCGCCTTCTTCAATGACATTCCTTTCAAATTTTACATCATTTTCATCAGTGGTTCTTTTTTTATAGCGTTTTGAAACTTAAACTTTAATTATAATCACCTTGTATATGGAACTAAAATTCAGACAGACAATAGTAATTTTACAGCAAAATTAACTATCCAATCAAAATGCATTGAGAACCAAAACTAACTAAGGTCTGAATTAAGATTTCATCCTGAACACTTGCTTTCTACGCTTTGGCCTAGCTGGACTGTAGTCTGTCTGTTCCTCCTTTCTTACTGTAAAATTATTTAAAATATAAGCTTTATGGAATAGGCACAATTAATGTGCCAACTTGTTTGTGGCCACAACATGTTTGCTGAAATAAAAAATGAATATTTAATCTGCCTTCACCTCTAATTTCCTATTCATTATGGATCAACACTTTTATGCTATCAAAATTCCTGCTGATCATTACTTTGTTTGTTTTTATCATATATATATATATATGTGTGTGTGTGTGTGTGTGTGTGTGTGTAGAACAATGGAATTTTGTATATGGAATTGCTGTAACATCTAGTTGAGCATTTCATTTTTTTATTTCAATCAGCAGAACAAAATGATATATATCTATATTATTTAAAAACAATTTAAAAAGTAAAATCCTGCAATTTGCTGCAAAGATAAAATTTAATATTCTCTATTACATATGTTTGTGTGTATGTACATATAAAGATAAATACGTACATATAAATTATAATTTAAATTAGCAATAGCTTCTTAATGCTTATTTCAAATTTGTGTATTTCCCCTCTATTCTAAAAACAGGAATAACTTTCTCCACTGCAATCATTTTGAAACTATCCATGATGTCAAATGTCTTGCATAGCACTGATGGTTGCTAACTTGAAACACAACTCAAAATTTCCGAGAATCGAAACTTTTCTCCTAATAAGCTGCTTTACTGGAATAAAAATGGACTTTGCTCCTAGCTCTCTTTGTACTAAGATGCTGATCCTTACTATCTTCCTATTGCAATAATACCTAAATTGTAAATGTTCTTGAAAATGCACAATTAGTGTGCCAATTTGTTTGTGGCCCTAAAATGTTCAACTACAATAAAAGAAATAAGACTTAAATCTGCTATGACTGCATCTTTTTGCATCTACACTACTTCTAAGTTTATTCTCCATTACGGATCTTGTACATGTGCTTCATCAGCAATCTGTGTCATTTTCTACATATTAAACATACACACATATAACAGTATCACAAATTTTTTTTAAAACAAAAAGTCACTGAACACTGGTAGTTTGGTCCAAAGCTCGAATCCCGTGAACGGGCTGAATGCATGGACGTTTTCATGGTTTTCCACATATGTAACATGTACGAGCCAGTTTCCAGTAGAAACTCCTTCGCTCAGTCAAATAACCCTCGAGGATTTGCCATAATCACATAAATCAAACCAAATACTGATATTAAAATTCAAATTAAAATGCAATAATTAGGAAAATATATGAAATTTAACAGAGAACAATAATTTTTAAACTCGCCTCTGGTAAAACAAAAAAATAAAGGACAGTAATTCAAAAGCAAAGAGGAGATGTTAATAGTTGCCTGTTTGGTTCCATTAACAATGGAAAATAATATCTCCCAAAAGGTGAATTTAGAATAAGTAATTTTCTATTTTTAGATTTAGAAAGCATTACAGAAATGCAACCAAGAAAAGAAAAAAAAAAAAGTTAGAAAAGAATAAAATTTTCACATCATGGGCTTATTATAACAACTTAGAATAGAGTAGGCCCTCCGTTAATAAAAGTACAGAGTCACGAAAAATGTATAGTAATACACATCTATACAAATTACACAATAAAATCTTTTATTAACAGAGGGCCTACTCTATTCTAAGTCGTCAAGATAAGCCTCTGACATGAAAATTTTAATTTCTAACAATTGTTTATTTTCCCCCTTTTTTTACTTGCATTATTATAATACTTTCCACATCTAAAAATACAGAATTATTTACTATAAATTCATCTTTCGGGAGATTTTAAACTTTTCATCGCCAATGGCACCAAACAGGCAACCATTAATGTCCACTCCTTCCTTTTCAATTGCTGTCCATTGTTCTTTTGCTAAACTAGTCGAGAGTTTAAAAATTATTGTTCTCTACTGATTTTTATACATTTTGTAATTATTACATTCTTTTTAAATTTTAATATTAGCATATAGTGTACATTTTTAATTAACCTTTTTGGACATTGAATTTATTTCATGTGGAACTGTTTTTGTATATTTTTATTTCACATAAATGAAAGGCTGCTGCTTGAAGAAAGTGTTCAGAATTTTCAGATGACCTATTATAATCGAATAATTTAAGATGGTTAATCAGCTAATTTTGGTTGAACAGAAACACAACGGTTTTCCTGGGAGGAGGGATTCATTTGAATCTAATCTACTTCCTCTTGATAATGTTGAATCACATTTTGATTATATTTCTCTTCCCCCGCTTTTTTTGTATTTTTATATATTTCTGTCATTTTTAAGAATTCTTCTGGTTTCAAAACAATTAGTTGATTTTCTCTTTTACATTTTCATTGGCAAATTTAAGAATAATACTGGTTTTGAATTTCATTTTTTATATAATTTATATATATGCATGATATAACAAAATATGACAGATGGTTTAAACATAATCGGCAACCTCAAAATTAACTATTTTAGATTTGGTGCTCTTCCCTTAAATTCATCTGTTCTCCCAAATTCGAGATCCTTCCATGTTACATAGCAACCTAAAATTAACCAAGCATAGCTTGTCTCTACAATTGCGTCTTATAAGCGGTATAAACACCGCTCGTAAGAAATTACATCATTCCTTTCCTAGATTCGCCGCTGCTAAGATATCCCTGCTCTGTTTGTCCATCTAAAATGATGTCGCTCCCATTAACCTGTGTGTAAAGAAATTAATGTAATTCATTATGATTGGCTATCTACTAGGATGGTTTTATATTTGTGAAAATAACAATTGGGCCTTTTTCAACAGTCATTTGTGGTTGGCATCACATGTTAGTCTTTCCACTCAGCCATTACAACTATGCATTAAATATATATATATATATATAAGTTCATATATACTCACTCCCTTTACCCGGCTATTTATTTTTGCAAACATTAGTTGTAGTCATATACTTCCAACTACAGAAGTGGTTTCCTCATTATAAAAAGAAAAAAATTAATAAGAAGTCCGACTACCATATGATAAAAAAAAAAGACCGGGATATTAATTTTCAAAATATGTAATTTTTTATGTCATTTTCAACTTGATGAATTGTTAATTCAAGCTAGAATAATTTGAGGAAATAAGTATGAATGAAGTAGAGTAAAAAATGTGTATAATTTAATAGGTCGCACAAGGAAGTCATGTAGTGTCCATATCAGATTTTTAATCCAATGTCACATAAGTTAGCATAAGTCTTTACATACAATGAGCCATTAATAAATCATTACACTACTTGACATTTTATACTGAATCATTTTTTACCAGCACAAGAAAGTCGCACGCCATGCACAAGAGAATTAATTTCACGAGACACCAAACCTACTCAATCATCTTTCTAATATTGACGCAGTATTTCTCATTATTTCACGTATATACATTAATTTTGAATATGAAAAGCCCATTCAAAATAAATAATGACGCTTTTTTCTTTTTTTAATTATACTGCATTCATCAAACATACAAGTAAAAGTGGCAAGTCTTTAAAATCTTACCAATAATTTTATAAAGATTCAGTAGAGCTCATACTTTTTTGTTTTGTTTTTAATTTTCTTCTTTACAAGCAAAACTGCCACCATTTTTTCAATGTTAATTTGTATCTTCTATTTCTTTAGCTAGGTTTTCAATGCTTGTACAGTCAAAACTCTTTAATCCTGACGTCCATAATCCGGACCTCAAAGCTACAAACTTTCTGCGCATGCGTATAATACGTTTAATGTATAACGGACAGAATAAGCTAAAATTATCTAATTATCTATTTCAGTTGATGTTGCAGATTGCGTTGTTCCTTAATCTTCTAATTGGTTTTGGCTTATTATTTTTTGCAAACAGAGCAATTTTATAAAAGTAAGATTGAACTTTCAATTATGTCAAAAAGAATTTCCGATTCTGGAGCTGCCAAAGGATCTACAAAGCGAAAGCATGTTTCGATGTGCATCAAACAAAAAGTGGAATTGTCACAAAAAATGGATAAAGGGATATCCTTCGATTCTCTAACAATTCCAAAATCTGTTTAGTAACTTCACGCTGCTCTGCGGGGGGGGGGGGGGGGCAATGAAATGGAAGTTGATCTGTCAGCATTATCCTTATCTTCAGGACAGATGTTTTTATCTTATTTGGCTTATAACTCCTTTCTAAATGTAGTATTTCATCTCGATGTAATCCGTCTTTGATACGATTTAAATCAAATTCCTCGTCATTATAAATACCATGACTACACATCAAATAGTTTTCTGGTAGCAATTTTATAATTTTAACTATGCGCAATGTATGCTTTATGCATGCGCGCATTGAAAGAAATGTTTAATAAAGTAAACAAAGAAATATTAAGCTTTTTTTGGCAAATTTTGATACCCTTTAGATCATAATTGCTCTTTATTTCATAAACTGCAGTTTCATATTTTTAATTTTATAATTTCTGCATGCCATCTTACCAGATTTAAACTGATGATCCATAATCTGGAAAAAACAATAATCCAGAATCGCCGAAGTCCCGATGAGTCTGGATTAAAGACTTGGTCCAATGGATTCCAAGCAAATTTACACACCAACCAATTTTCAGATTACACCAATTTGCTGATTTTTATGACAAATTAATGATATCACATAATGGTTTTATGTTGGCAATGAGATGAAAATTCAATACAAATGTTTGGGAATGTTCTTTTTATCCAACGGATTTGGGGTGGGGTGGGGGGAATCTTAAAATCTGAAAAGGAAGACAGAACATTTTCGGTAAAGAAATCAGGAAAATGAAATCTTTATTACATAGCCTCTGATTCAAGTTCCCCCCCCTTCTAAATCTTATTATACTCTAATATCTTACTTACACACTATAGACATCTTCATAATTTCTCAGTTTTGCTGAATATTTTTATGTTCCAGATGATTTATTAATATTAAATTCAACGACTAATTATTTACACTTTTAAATAAATTTTTAGTACGAGTGCCACTAAAAATTAAATCCGTGTACAAAGAAAAAAATTCATATTATGAGTAAATAATAATTGACACACGTATATAAAGCCCTAAAAGAAAATTAAATGTATAAAAAGTAGCAGAATGGAATCAAATAGAATTTATTGTTATGGAACATTAAGGTAGTATACCTTCAAATCTTGATATGAATATTAAATAGTAACTCTTTTATAAAGTGATATACTCTTTTAAAAGAGTGAAAGACGAGGTGAAAATTGAAATTTATCCTAAAAAAATAATAGACAATATTATTTAGTCATTTAATGAGATTACATAATTTATAATGTACAGTTGCAAGTGTTAACTGTACCTGTTCCTAGATATAAACAGGTAAATCATTACCAAACAGTTTTAAATGGAAACATATTTTCTAATTGCATGAATTATTTCAACGCTCTTGACAATACAATATTATACACGGTAAAAACATCCGGTTACTCAGCGTCCGCTGATAAAATCATTCGGAAATAACTACTAAAAATCGAATCGAGTGGTAGTTTACTACTTATATAGTATTCCAAACAAATACATAAATGACATATACAAGGTCAACATATTAAAAACATGCAAAAATATTTAAAAACTTACCTTCAGAACTTGCCCTTTTCTAAAACTCAACTCATCATCGGCAGTAGCATTAAAATCATGTTTAGCAATAGCCTCCATATCGCAATACTTAAGTAACAGATCTCAATTATGATCGTTTCTGCACCTTCGCACTTCAAATATTAACAATGTCTATTAACAACGATAATTTTAAGACTTAAATGTCATACACTTAAGAATTACAATGAAAATGTGAGCTCAATAAACATAGTTTAAAAGAAAGAGTTCAGACAAAACACTATATGTAAATCAGAACTTTCACCATATCTGTAAGATTAATTAAAGAATATCATACAAATTTTAAGTTCCTCAATACACTCCAGTTAGACCTAAAAGGCTAACAGTTCAAAAATAGATCAATGCCGCTTAAGAGTGCGGTCGCCGCCCTTCTTCAAAGATGAAAACTATATTACGTACGTATTTCCCACAGCTAATTAACCTTGTTCATAACATTCCACACGCACATTTAAATACTCTTTATATACATTAATTCTTCATACAAGCCCATATGCAAGGGGCCATTAAAGCATCGCTAACGGCGGAGTGACACAACTTGCTGTAATCAAATGCAGACTTTCACTCTGACGTCAGGCGTTAGTTTTGGGCAAGATATCAAATAACTTTGACAGTTATATGAATTGGATACCAAATGAGAAAAAAATGAAATACTAATGATATTTAAATATTTAATGTAAGAAAATATATATGCAACATAAGGACTTATTTCTAACTGCGGAAGACACTCGATGATCTCCGTACTGCAGTGCGACAATGGATTCTACGCAATGTAAATAATAAAATAAAGCAAATGCAAACACCTGTGTGCGTCATGCTCTTTACTTTTCACACAAAACTGTGGGGGGGGGGTATACTTTTTTTTTCTTTTTCTCGAATGTTAATATTGTCTGGGTTTGGACAGTCATGATTCAGTCATGATTTGGTGATTTGGAGAGAATATTTTGGTCTCTGGTGTATTAATAAAATATAAATATTGTATGGAATTCTGTAATTAAATTCTTGCAATAGTTTAAATCTGTTTTTATCCTTCTGATCTTCTTATGAATAAAGAAAGTACACGTTACAAGACAGTAATCTGGGAAAAAATTCTTTTTCTCTCTTTCTTTGAAGGTATGTCATATACATATGTTTTGAATTGCTACGAACAAAAAAGGAACATTTTCTTGGAAGTTTGGATATGTTACAGCGGTACCTAGATTCATCAGATCTTCAATAGCATAGTCCTCCATCCATTTGGAAGACCGAATTTAGAATTTCAGTGGAGTAACGAGCATAACTGGCACCCAGGGCAAAATACCTTTTTGGCGCCTCCCCCCCCAAAAAAAAACACACTGATATGATGAAAATCTTGTTTGGAGACCATTTGGCGCCCATCTGCGAGTGGCGCTCGGAGCATCATACAGCCCCTTGCCCACCCCTCGCTACGCCACTGTGGAATTTGTTTGATTGTCTATTTCATATTTAAACTTTAAGGAATTTTTGATTAAAAAACAAAAAAGCAAGCAATGGCAATACTACCAGGAATAAAACATTTCTTATCTCCAGGGCGCTAGACTGTGTATTTTCACTCATCCTAGCAACTGCATCAGCTTTCTTAGATGTTCTCTGTTTCCCAGAGAAAAGCAAAAATGTTCATTCTTAACATTTTTTACTCATACTAGACATTGACTTACAGTTCATTCATTTGGACCTTCCACCAGAAATTCACCTTCTTCGTCGACTGATGGCGACCACTTGACTTAATAAAGTCAAAAGTCGTTAATCCGGACTCGTCGGGACTTCGGCGATTCCGGATTATCGATTTTTCCGGATTATAGATCATCAGTTTAAATCTAAGATGGCATGCAGAAATTACAAAATTAAAAATATGAAACAGTAATTTATGAAATAAAGAACAATTATGATCTAAAGGGTATCAAAATTTACAAAAAGAAAAAGCTTAATATTTATTTGTTTACTTTATTAAACATTTCTTTCAATGTAAGTTGCTTCGTTTCATGTGATAATACTTTCTGTTTAATTCTATTAAACAGACATAATTTCTTGTTTAGTTACAAAGTTCCGCTGTTCAAGTCCTATAATTGCTGTGTTGAGAATACCGACTAATTTGTCAATCGAAATGTTTTCGTTTTCAATAACCTCTGGGTCACTTTCTTCACTATCGGAAGCGAATTATAATGACGAGGAACTTGATTTAAATCATATCAAACACGGAGTACATCGACATGAAATACTACACTTAGTAAGGAATTATAAGCCAAATAAAGTAAAAACATATGCCCTGAAGATAAGGATAGTGCTGACAGATCAACTTCCAATCCGCGGCGTGAAATTGGTAAACAGATTTCGGATTTCAAAACATACTTTCGCTTTGTAGATACAAATTACATATTAGTAAATATATATCGGAAATTCTATTTGACATAATCGAAAGTTCAAGCTTACTTTTATAAAATTGATCTAACAGTCTGCAAAAAATAATAAGCCGGATCCAATTCGAAGATTAAGAAACAACGCAATGTGCAACATTAACTGAATTAGATAATTTTAGCTTAGCTTATACCTCCGTTACACATTAAACGCGCATGTGCACAAACATATTCGCAGCCGTAAAGGTCTTAAGCGCACTCTTAAACACCTGTGCGCATGCGTGAACGCGACACATGCGCAGAAAGTTTGTAGCTTTGAGGTCCGGATTATAGATCATTCCGGATTATGGGTGTCCGAATTAACGACTTTTGACTGTACTTTCGTCTTATTTTGTTCACACTACTCATTTTGTTTTATTGATGGTCTTCAGATGCAGAATAAAAGGACGCACTGCTTTTTGAATCCTTATTTTACTATATGTTCTTATAGCCAAAGTGCTCTTTAAAAGAGTATGTGTCTGTAAATGAAAAAAAAAAAAAAATCACCGTAATATAAAAATCAGAAAGCTCTTAGATTTTTAAGTATTAATTTTGAAATACTTAAAAAAATAAATGACGAAAACCACAGTGTATAAAATTGCATACGTAACTTTTTTTTAATTCATTATTTAGTAATTTTAAGTACAGCGATTACAGTTGCTATGGTCTGCTTTTAAATAGTTATTTCTTTTAATATACGAACATTAGCTTAACATTAAATACAAACGATATGCTATCAATACAATTTTGTAAGTAGCAACAATATTTAATTTCGCTTTATTGTTGTTTTAAAAGAATATTCTTAGAAAGTAATGTATTAGAATATGGGATTCTCTCCACATGCATAGTAACATTATATGTTATAAATAAAAACGTCTTAATTCGAGCATTTTGGATGTGTAATGATCCCTTATTAAAGCCTTTGTGGAACATTAGCTGAAAGGTACATAGCAGAATATTCGGGGAATTTTCGGGTTGCACCTGAAAAGTGTTACGTAGGGAAACCAACGAGATAGTATACTGGTAGAGAGCGTATTGCAACCTTCAACCGGTTCCAACATTAGTGTCACGTGAGTGCTGCGCGAATTCCGAAAGTCCGGAAATACTTTACATTGCTTTCTATGGGACGAAAGACTGCTGCTCTGCTTGGTCACATAAAATTTAAGTGAAAATGGTTATTCGCTGCAGCGCCTACGGATGTAAAGAAAGTTTCGTGAAAGGAGGACTTGTAACCTTTCATAGGTAAGTTAAAACTGCATGATTTATTATTTTATTTTCAGTATTTTTGTCATTTTACTATCTCTGTTGAATTGGTTGGAAAGTTTCAACCATATTGTATAAGAAAATTGCCGCCGTATATAGCATTTTCAGCATGTATTATTAGCATCAAAATGTATTAAATACTGTGACACTATTTACTGGAATCACCCTTTACAAATAATTGAATTTTACATGTTCTTTTTCCGTGTATTCCGCTTGAAATAGAAAGTTGCGCCAATTGGCGCTAACCTTTTTTCGCCAAGTCCGTACGCGTTTTGGATTTCATAAACAAGTACTGCCTGCGATAAAAAAAGAAAAATGCTATTATTAGCATTAAATTATTGAGAAAAGATTGTGCGAATATGTTTACCTTTGTTAAAAAAAAAGCTGAAAGAATCTTGATTCATGCAACATTGAACATAAACAGTTTAAACAACATTATTTTAAAAATCAGATTACTTTTATAAAGCTCACTGCTTTATCATTATTTTCCTATAAAATCAAATTTAAAATAAAAATAATCTGGGATTATAATTCTGTCTCATCTACGATGCTGTTAGAAATTTATTATAATTGAAAAAAGTGTGATGTGAAAAAACTTACCATATTTTAAATAGTATTTTAAAAAAAAAGGAGAGTGAGAGAATTTTTAACTGTATTATCGTTTTGATTGTAATAATAAATACTGAGTTGAAGTTTGTTACCGTTTGATACATATTCAATATAAAATATTTGTTATAGTTAATAAGATGTATTGATCCCCGCCATGACATACACATGAGTATGGAAATCAGTAATTAAGATTGCATTATTTTGTCCCAGTAATATAATCTTAAGAAAAGAGAGTGCATTATTTTGTTCCAGTAATATAATCTCAAGAAAAGAGAGGCAATCAATGGCATAAATACATATAATACAATGTGATTTTCTTTTTCTCTTTAGGATGCAATGCATTAAAATTACACGAGATTTTTTTACCTTCTCAAATATTATAACAGTAGTGCAATTAATTTTTTAACGTTATTCAAAATTAAAGTTTCCATCTCAATTTTTTTATTATTTTTTAGATTTTCTTCCTAAAATTATTTAACCTAAACATCTTAAACAATGGTGCAAATAATTTAAAGCGATTATTAAAAATATAGATAAAATATTCAGGAAAAAAAGGGGTTAAGTTATATCTAAATATAATTGTAAAAAATCGAACAACCTAATTCGAGGCCGTTGTCTGCTGACTGCTAGCAGACGGAAATAAAAAGCACTACCTGCCATATCAAAAGCGGGCCAAACTGGCGATGAACAGCCTAAGCTATCACTCCCCAAGAGCGCCAAGAGCATTAGTCACGTGGTATATGTTGGAGACACCCTAGCAGACGAATTCTCTGTGGGTGAGCTGTCTACCTGTTATATGAAGTCGTTGAGGGAAACCATTTACATCCTTCTGGATTTCTGTTTGAAACTGGTTATATGAGTTACCTCTAAAGTAAAGTCTTGGAGGTCATTATTTTTCTACGTATCACTATCAGTGAACAGATCTATATGAAATTTAGAATTCATTGATTACTGCAGCATTTTAAGATAATGAAAATCACCATCTGGATTGAAAGTGATTCGGTTTAGAGTTCAATTTCATAGCTGATATAATTATGTAAATGATAGCTTCTGTTTTAAAAAAAAGTTGCTTAAGCAACAATTTGCCAACTAACACAAAATAGTGAATGTTTTCTGTGAATGTTTCCTTATTTTTTCCTTATTCTCTCAATGACACCTTCCTTTGGGACGACCTACCTTCTACATATGCCATGTGAACGAGGGGTCAAACAACGCCTTTAAGAGGCAGAACATCGCCTCGAAGCTGAATGGCTCCGAAAAGGAAGGAAATATTTCATCCCTTTAAACGTTTTAAGCAAACTTAAAAAGTTTTTTTGTTTTTGTTTTGTTTGTTTGTTTTTGTTGGATGCGTGGTAGACAACTAAACTTCTAACATTTGAGTTTTTTAAATTTGGCAACAATTTATGCATCGATTTCGTTTTATTTTGTCCCTATCTAGTGACCTCTGTTGGTTTTCTAGAAGATAACTTTGTCCATCGTTATTTAAAAATTAGTAATGGCGCTTTTACGCCAGAGTGTAAGAAATCCTCTGCGTTTGTATCAAGCGACATGTGTTGCCTTTAGGATGAAATCTGATGAAAAACTCCCTCACTATATTGAGCATGCTACTGGAATAGAACGGAAGGAGTTACTGGCTAGAGCTGCCGGGAATGATGATCCTTTTGGTATGAAAGTTATGAAACGAGGTCCTGGTACCAAGGATCAACCTAATTTGGTTCCTTCATTTGAAGATAAAAGAATAGTAGGCTGTATATGTGAAGAAGATTCCACAGTTATCAACTGGATTTGGGTCCATCGAGATGAACCGAAGAGATGTGGTTGTGGATATTGGTTCAAATTAGTAGATGCTAAACCATTGTAAACAAAATTTTTTCATTTCAGGTTTAAAGATGAAAATGATTTAACAGTTTAGATTTCAATATCTAGTTCCAAAATGTTGCATAAACAACATGTAATGTAATGTATTGGCGTCTTTCTAGCATTAAATGTTAATTCTTATGAATTCTGTCTTTCGTTTCTGTTTTATTATTATTATTATAATCTTTAATTTTTAACATTTTGTGTTTTTGAGTGGCTCATATGTCTGGTAAGATCTAAATTTGTAAATCTTTAAACTGTTGCTCGTTATCATTTCTAAATGCAAAATTGTCTTCTGTAGAAATTATAACTCCTTAAAATTTGTAAACACACTCATGTCTGAAAGGTAAGGCTTTAATATTAAGTATGTTTCCAGTTATGATATGAAAATACAACTTGGCTTGACAAGATGTTTCTTCAAAATTTAATTTTTGATGTTGGTTTGTTTTGAGGAAGTAGAATACAGAATTTCTCTACATACATTTGACAGCGTATTTGCAGGAAAATAAGTTTTATATCCCAGTAAAAATTAAATTATTTGAGTGTTTATGATACTTTCCAAAATATTTGAAAGTCGTTAATTAAACAGTTATGGTAATGCATATTTCTTGGCATTCAAAATTAAATGCTGTGGCAAAGATAATACGGTACTTTTCTGTTATCGGGACCAGATTCAGAAATGGATCTATGCATGTATATAAGTATATACATGCGCATGAACACATGTATATACATACATTTCTGAATTCGGTCCATATAATGGAAGGGTACCAATAATACTTCTACTCTGATTTCTAAAAAGCTTATATTAATTAGCATTCTCAAATTTGTATTTCATTAAATTTTCTATTTGTAGCTGCTTGTGGGCTAAGATGTGAAGTATTTACTAAATATTTAAATATATTTATTAATTTAATATTTTACTTTCAAAGGAAAAAATTAAAAAACCAATTTTGAAATGTGTAATAAATAATAAAAATTCCAATGAAAATATCACATGGTAATAAAAGAGAAACTTTAAATGCAATATTTCTTTAATGGAACATCATTAAATAGTACAGAATACATGACTAGCAATTTGTAAGAAATTGAGTATTACAGTACAAGACATATTATGCTGTATAAGATATGAATTTGTTTCAAACTTAAATATGTATTTTTGAAAATACTTATTTTCTGGAATTACTTATTATTATTTCTAATGGAATGCCATTTATCATTCAGTAATTTTTTGAATCATTGATGAACAATAATCTATACATATAAACTGCTAATAAACCAAGTGTAATTATACGAGTTGATGAATGACTGTTTTGTTTTCCTTTGTGTGCTATATAGCATTTTGTAAAAATTCATGTGGGGGAGCGTAAAATGTCATGTAGGATTGTTGCTTGAGGGCTGCTTAACATCATTATCAGTTTCTCATGTTTTAAAATATTACACATATAAATAATTAACACTTATTGTAGGTCATGTTCGTGAACTGAAAATGAATGGGAAATAATTGAAATATGGTTCATTCAGATTGTGTTTCTGTTGCGAAAAAAGTTTAGAAATTATTGAAACGGAGTGTATGCTGTGCTAAAGGTAATGTGTTTATTATTTAACATATTAAAATCTGGCATTTTTTTTAGTAGTATTAAATATATTGATTATTTATGCAGTAAGAATTTCAGTTAGTCATTTTCAAAAGCGATCCTAATTTGTTAATACAAATTTTAGGCAGATTAAAAAAAGAAAAAAGCCTTAGTATAACACTTAATTTCATATAAATTTCTATTCAGTGGTATTAATTTTCTGAATGAAAATGTTTTTCTGTGTATTAGTATAGCATTACAGAAGTATAAGACATTTATAATTTTTGTGCTGGCTGGATGTAAGACATAACTGACAATTTTTAATTTCTATCAAAAACTAAACTATTTGCACTAAATATTTCTTTTCTTCCTCCAAAAACAGTAAATAGAAATGTACTGTGCTTTTTCATTTTAATGTAAGAATTAATGAAAACAGTAACTTTAAATAATAATAAAACTGTGTACACTAATTCCTTTTACAGTATAAAGTCCGTAATCCAGACGTCCATTATCCAGAATGATCTATAATCTGGACTTCACAAAGCCACAAACTTATGCATGTGCATAATGCGGTTGATCTTTACAATATGGTAACTGGTAGTTTGGCGACATTTTGGAGGCGATAAAGGTTACTACCTGGCACTTTGGTAATAATGTGAGCAGTACTCAGTTCCGATTACGCATTATTTTGTGTGAGGGAAATGAGAGATCATGGGATATGTCATGTGATATTAATGGACGAATTACGGTTCTTTAATTGGAAAAGGGGGAAATCGGGAAAAAATCTGGAAATTTTGTATTTGGCTTTATTCTGTGTTGTGTGAAACAGTGTTCGTGAATTTTTGGATCCTATGGCCGTAACTAAAGTGAATTCGAAATGGATATTTATGTATGTATTAATTTAATGTATGTGCTCATTTATATTTTAAGTAGTGTTTTTGAATTTAATTATATTTTAATTAAATGATAGTTATTTTGTGAATTTTATGTTTGTAGGAATTTGGTATACGTTTTAGTTGAAGTAAACGTGCATGGAAATAATTTAAATATCTGACACTAAGTATTTGTAATGTTTGCGGTATGAATTCGTTGGTGACGTGTTATAATGTAATAGATGATTTAGAGGTAAAAGTTTTTGGATATTTTATTTATTTTATATGTGGAAATGTTCATATTTGGAAAGGGTAAATACTTTTTCGCGATCAGGTAATTTCATATATGTTCTTTTTACCGGGTTTAAGGATTCAGAAAATTGTTATGCATTTTCGTGAAATTTTTCTAATTTATGAGAAAAAAGCAGTGTACATCGATATAGTGAAGAGTGTGCACAATGCCATTTTTGGGCAATTCTGGGATGTTTTTTTAAGTAAAAATAAGTCAGCGTGTACATGGTTTAGTGATATTTTAATTAAATGATAGTTATTTTGTGAATTTTATGTTTGTAGGAATTTGGTATACGTTTAAGTTGAAGTAAACGTGCATGGAAATAATTTAAATATTTGATACTAAGTATTTGTAATGCTTGCGGTATGAATTTGTTGGTGACGTGTATAATGTAATAGATGATTTAGAGGTAAAAGTTTTTGTATATTTTATTTATTTTATATGTGGAAATGTTCATATTTGGAAAGGGTAAATACTTTTTCGCGATCAGGTAATTTCATATATGTTCTTTTTACCGGGTTTAAGGATTTAGAAAATTGTTATGCATTTTCGTGAAATTTTTCTAATTTATGAGAAAAAAGCAGTGTACATCGATATAGTGAAGAGTGTGCGCAATGCCATTTTTGGGCAATTCTGGGATGTTTTTTTAAGTAAAAATAAGTCGGCGTGTACATGGTTTGTTTTATGTGTATGTGTTATTTTGAAAAACGCGTAAGGAGTATGGTATTGTGCACTTTTTCCCAATTTTGCAGTGAATATTTGTCATGATTAAGCAGTTTTGTTAGATAAAATTTCTAGTATAAGTGTAATTCGGCTAGTAGATTGTTGGAAGAAGTGTTCAGTAGATAAAAAGAAAAGAAACATGTCTTTACTTCGTGAAGACAAAATGGCGGCGGAAAAAAAAAAAAATAGAGGGTTGCTGTAGGAGAGTTGGTCACCAAATTTTCGCCAAAAAAACCGCCAAGTTACCATAATGTAAAGATCAACCCATAATGCATTTACACATGCGGCGTAAAGCGTTTACCCATGCACGCTTCCAAAAGAAAGTGACAGAGAGGTTATTGAAAACGAAAAAATTTCGATTAACAAGCTAGTCAGTATTCTCGACACAGCAATTAGAGGACTTGAGCAGTGGAACTTTGTAAATGAACAAGAAATTATGTTTGTTTATAGAATTAAAGAGAAAGTATTAGCACAAAAAACGAAGCAACTTAAACAACTTACATTGAAAGAAATGTTTAATAAAGTAAACAAATAAATATTAAGCCTTTTTTGTGTGAATTTTGATACCCTTTTGATCACAATTGCTCTTTATTTCAAAAATTATGGTTTCATATTTTTAATTGTATAATTTCTGCATGCCATCTTACCAGATTTAAATTAATGATCCGAAACAACCCCTAATCCGGAATCGCCGAAATCCCGACGAGTCCGGATTATGGACTTTGTACTATATATCTTCCTTTGTGATAAAAACCAATACACTTTCATTCATACAATAAGAAATCTTACTGATCATGTAAATGTACATGATTTTTTCTTCCAAGTTATTGCATCGTAAAACTGATTATTTTAAGAAATATAAAGTACTCAAATAATTCAAAATACTGAGGAGAAATAAAGAAAGCTGTTTATGCTCGATTGCAATCCTGCTTCAAGTGGAAATTGCAAACAATGAGTGCAACTGCACAAAAATCCCCACGAGATAAGTAATCCCTTCACTTAAGCAGCTGTTGTTAATGCTGCTACTTGGCAGGAGGAAAGAAATCCATTTCAACAAATTTACAAAAAAAAAAATATATATATATATATATATATATGTAAAATATAAAAAAAATACGATGGCTTTGCTCTTTGCGAACCAGCAACCTTTAATTAATTTTCTGCAATTCAGGATCGTCCCCTAACCCAGTACCTTCTAGAACATTCACGCCTATTACATAACCTCATATAAATGCTGCGTCATAAGTTTTCTCTACATTTTTCTAGAAGCTACTCTGTTACATAACCTTTCATATAAATGCTGCGTCATAAGTTCTCCTACACAGATGCCTTCTCGCCTTCGTCCTGCTAACGCTTCCGCTATGCTCCTCTTTCTTTCTTTGTTAGAACGTTATGATGTATTAAAGTTTAAAGTCAGTCGTATCTAATAGTTCAATTACTGAATAAGTTATTTGATTAACTTCATCTGGAAAAAGTCATCTGCTCTATAAATTAAAATAAAGATATGCTTGCTGTTAAAAGTGAAAAGTCCTGAGTCGTCATTTTTCTCCGTGTTCAATCATCCCCCAGCTTCGTCAACCATCTGCCAGAACGTGTAATGGAATAGCCTCACCATTCGCCCACGATGTGTTGGAATAACTGAAAACATTACAGTTATTAATTAGCCGGTAGGATTTATCCTCTA